TCCTGTCCATCGATTCTTTCTTCTTAAATGAGCATGGAATTCTTTGTCATCTTTGGAGTCCAGGTAAACGTCGAGTTCAACAATTGTGTGTACAAGTTGTCATTCCAGCTTCATTACGCCATGAAGTTTTAGTTGCTTGCCATGATCATTGCACCGCTAGTCACCTTGGTATCACAAAAACCTATGACAAAATACGTGCACGTTATTATTGGCCTAATATGTTCAAGGATATCGAACATTGGTGTAATTCTTGTGTTGATTGTGCAATGAAGAAGATACCACGTGGACACCGTAGGGCGCCATTGTTACCTATTCCAGTGGAAGGAGCCTTTGACAGAGTGGCTATGAATATTCTCGGTCCATTTCCAGAAACTCATGATGGAAATCGTTACATTATCGTTTTTTCCGATTATTATACTCGTTGGCCGGAAGCATTTGCCTTGCAGTCTACTGAAGCATCCCGGATCGCGCACATCCTCGTTGATGAAATTCTTGCTCGTCATGGTGCTCCTCGCGCCCTACTTTCTGATCGCGGGCCTAACTTTCTAGCGTCAATTGTGAAAGAAGTGTGCAAAATTATGAACACTCGGCGTCAGCTCACCACGGCCTACCATCCACAGACAGATGGTCTTGTCGAGCGTTTTAATGCAACTTTGGCCGAGGGTCTTTCTATGTACGTCAGCTCTAACCAAAAAGATTGGGACAAACATATTCCGATGGTCCTGTTCGCTTATCGTGTTTCTCCTAATGCCACGACAGGAGAATCGCCGTTTTATCTATTGTATGGACGCGAGCCACGCTTGCCGATTGATGCTGCGTTGATTTTACCGGATTCTAAGTTGTCGTCGTCAGTTGCCAAACTGCGTGCTGAAATTGTTCAAAATTTAGAGAATGCGCAGTCTATCATTAAGTCTAACACGCAACTCGCGCAGCAAAAGATGAAAGCCTACTACGATCTCAAAGCGACTCCTTATTCTATACGATGTCGGTTCGCGCGTTTGGGTCTATACACCGAAGAAACGCAAAGGTCTGTCGAAGAAATTACAGCATAACTATCACGGTCCTTATCGCATCGTAGCAAAGCTATCTCCGGTTCATTTCAAACTTCGGACCTTGGATAATCGCCCTGTTTCTGTTCCGGTTCATGCAAATCGACTAAAGCCATACCACGACCCGGCCGACCGACCGATTGAACCACCTGTCGATGACTCTTCGTCTCTTGATTTACAAGACGCAGACTTACCACCGGACAGCTTCATTCCATTGCAAGCAGCTCCTCCGCAGGAGAACACTCGCCGTATCGCTCAGCAAGTTTCAGACACTGATTCATCGACGGAGCCGCAGATTACGCGCCCTGAGGATACCTTTACCCCTCAAGTTATACGCGGTGTATAGTTTTGTCATTGGTCAAGCCAGGAGGCTTGCTTCGAAAGGGGGGAGTCGTGTTGTATAGTTAACATTACGTCATTGGACGACGAGATTACGAGAGATTGCACCACGACATGCAACTCAAAACAAGTTACGTCATGGTATATTTTGGCCGTCAGGGATTGCACCACGAAGTGCAACTTGAAGAAAAACCTTATGATTGGACAAATAATAACAAGAACCCCTTTTCCTATTGGACGTTTGCTTTGCTGGAACTTTTATTGGATGTTTAGATTTATTGCACCATCTATTGTTTAATCTTATATAAATTTGAGCTTTTAGTTTAGAGATTTAGAGAAGTTGTAATTTAGACGCTAGTTTGACGCTGATGAAGATAAAGATAAAGACCAGTCGCCGTTTCTCTCTCTGACGTTCTCCTGCCGCCGCTAAAGTAAAGATTCAGAAGCAAGGTCGTAAGTTAAAGCCCTGAATTTTATTGGTATTTGTTAAAGTAGTAAGAACTCACGCAATTTCATGTTATACTTAACACTGTCGTTCAACCTCAAGTATAACAGGACCAAGACAGGAGTTTTGTTGAGCTCTATTTCCTTCACACCAGAAGAAGTGGAAAGAAAGAGGAAGCATATCCTTCTTACTGCTTTTGTTTGTCCAATAGGCTCCATCGCGAGTCGGAATATAGGGCCAGGGGCGAAACTACTGGGGGGGGTATGGGGGGTGCTGCACCCCCCCAATCTTCAAAAAAACAGATTTTGTCGGGCAAATTTATGGCTGCCAGTGTATCTGTCCGGCAAATCTGGAAATTTTCTTTATGTCACACTTTTATTGCTACTTTTTGCCCTAGCTTGGTTTTTTAATTCATGGTCTTTTCCCCATTATTTTTTCAATCTCCTCCCAGTTTGGAAAACAAAACAGAAACGAGGCTAGGAACAGCAACATATATACATTTCTGTTTTTTTGTCCACCGATCAGCGCTTTCGTCTCGAGCTCAACACGCACATGTTTATCTTCGCCTCGAGATGAAGTCTGAAGTATTGATCGACAGCGAAAGTATAGACGGAAAGTAAAGTGTGTTTGATGCGAGAAGGAAATGAGCACTGTGCATACCCCCCCCCCTACTTTTTGCAAAACAAGAGAGCTTTTTTCAAAATCCTTTGTTGTGATTTCTAAATTTTCCCTTGACAAGCCCCCGCCCCCCTTTCCATTCTGCCTCGGAGCCCATGGAACACTGACAGTTTTGGTGTTCCACTTTGACAAAATTGAGACCCTACTTCAATCCCCTTTTTTGAATTGCTTTCTTAATAGCTATGTGATTTAGAAAGTGAAGATGTTTATAGCCAACACCAGAAAAACTAGAGGCACATTTCTTGACTTTAAACAAACAGCCTGAGTCTAAAGACCCTCTCTCGGGCTTCCCGATGATTTCAGCCCTTGAGGCGATGTGCTCTAAAAATGAAGTTCATGTATGACACGCCCTTTCATCAAGCATGCCACGCCCTTTCGTCGGGCATCTAAGCTTCATACCCCCGGAATGAAAATAGTGAAGTTTCGCTCCTGTATAGGGCTAATTGTAAATTATAGACTGATAAGAAAGGATTTTACAAAAAGCTCCTTTGTTCTGGTTCTGCATAAAGTGTGGGCTTTGCCCCCACCCAGCCTGCATTTTCTTCTGTCTCGCCCTATTGTCCCTTTGCAGGCCCACGCCACGAATTTGAAAATGGGGGCAAGGCTTCTTTCACCTTGTACCCCTGGTGGCCTGGGCCCTGCTTTAGCCAGTGACCAAACGAGGCCATTTACCATAAAATGGCGACTGGTCAAAGGACATCCAGATGGTCAACCGGCAAAATGTGCTTGTTGTTTATTATAACGTCTCTAGAAAATAAATTATAAAGACCTAAATTTTCTTTTATTTGTTATATGCTGAAGTTTACTGTTGATGCCTGCATGACTCTAAAACTTGATGGAGACATGCCAACGGACAAGGACAATAGCGCCTGCGAGACTGCTAGGCCAGAAGGTCACTACTTCCAGGAAAATGAACAAGACTGGCAAGATTTTGTTTGTGGAGGTGGAGCGGCCTGTTTTAACATTCTAGTAACATTTCCATTATTTAAACTGATGCTAAGACAACAAATAGATGGCGTGAGGGCTTTCAAAGCACTAGGACAATTAAGGCGTGAAGGAATTTCAAATTTATATCGTGGTATTTTACCACCTTTACTTCAAAAGGGTGCATCAGCTTCAATTATGTTTGGATGTTACCACAAATTTCAAAGAATACTTTTGTCGAAATATCCAAACACAAATCATGTCTACCTTCAGCTTTGCTCTGGGATGATGGCAGGGACTCTGGAGGCCTTTCTCACTCCCTTCGAAAGAATTCAAACTTTACTTGCAGACCATAAACATCACGAAAAGATTGCTAATACAATTCATGCTTTTCGGAAAATTGGAAAGCATTATACAATAAAAGAGTATTACAGAGGCTACACAGCTATTGTTCTGAGAAACGGACCCAGCAGTGCTCTCTTCTTTTCATTGCGTGGACCAATCAAGGATTCAATGCCAGGTGCTGGAGACAACGAAGTTCTGTCATTTGCTGAAGATTTTGCTAGTGGTGCTTTACTTGGAGCTGCACTCAGCACACTATTTTACCCCTTAAATGTAGTCAAAAGTAATATGCAAAGGCATCTAGGAGGACCATATACTGGCGTTATTAGGACATTTAAGTTTATTTACAAACAAAGAGGTAATTCGCTCATAAGAATGAACTTTGGTGTTAGTGTGAATTTTTCAAGAGCTCTTGTATCATGGGGCATTATCAATGCAACATATGAAGTTCTTAGAAAGATGATGCTCCATCAAGACTCTTATGAATATATTGTACATTGATTGAAGATGAATAGTAATGAACATAGTTGAATGATTTGGTTTTATTTTTATAATGTTGTGAGGATTTTTAACTCAGATATATAATAGATGTTACACAACCCCATTCCAAGGTCTGAAATTATTTCACCGCACCTTAAGCTCAACCAGTTGCACCAATCATTAAATGATTCCCCTACATATAGGCCTACCCAGTTTAAAGGCACACCCATTTTGTGTCAAATAAGAATGAAGTGCATGTCTCTGATCTGAAAAGAAAATAAAGGAAATTTAAAAAGCAAAATTGACCTCCTCTAAATGATGATTTAATACAAGTTTGATCTTTCACCATTGATTTCTGACTGTGTCGATATTATTCCTTCACCACAATATTTACACAGGACGGTCAGACCTGCTCAATAGACCTCTTATTTTAGATTACCACTTTCTGGCCCCTCAAATAACTATATAATTGTTATTGTATATGGCAACTTTTTTCTTTTTTCCAACGATGAAAACAAAACACGACTGCTAAATAATTTCCCATTGCATCCTGTTTCCAGTAATTTACTTCTTGTGTATAGGCTTTTGTTTTATTTACTTAAATTATATTTTCTTGGTTCAAGTGTTGATCATGGTATGTTTATGTTTTATCAAAATGGATTTCAGCAAAAATAAAGTGTGTGTAGATATAAGCTGTTTATTATAGTTTTAAATTTTATGCTTCCAAAAGGAAGCTTTAAACTTTCGCAAAATGGTCTTCTAGTTTTTGTTATTTAATAAAAATGATTTGTAGAATTAACCCTTTAATGTTTCTTTGATGTAGCAACATTATACAGGCTCTTTTTCCTCAATTCCAAATTTTTGAAATTTTTATAGCATCTCATTAGTCATGCTTTGATTTGTCAACCAAAGGAGCCCCCAATAATTGTCAAACTGTATAATATATCCTTTATAATAGTGTACTTAATGGCAAGTAATAAAAAGGGGCAGCCTCTCAAAATGAATTTTGTACCAAGCATACTGCAGCCAGAATCCTAAATGTGATTTGCCTGTTATGATGAAATCTACTGTTTACCACTTACCAGTCTGCCAGAAAATGCTCTAGGGCATAAAGGTCAAGCTGTACACCAGTTCTGATGACCCTCATTAAAAGGGAATCTTGGGGTAGCAACTTGGAACTGTCCTTTCTTTTTTACATTGAAAGTGTAACTGTCTTGATGGATAATTTTAGACATATATGTTGACATATTAGACAAGTTGTCTGAAACTGAATAAATGTTTTGTTCCTTCTCAGCTTATTTTGATGTTTTTTTACTCAAACCCGAACATGAGATGGCAAGCTTCACAAAATTGTATTTGTACATAGACCTGCAAATCAAACAAAAATTTCCTTATCCAACCTATTCCATACGGTATCATATATCCCATACATCCGACAACTTTGGGACCAGACCCAGTACCATAGACCCAGAGTGCATTTGGGTTTTGGGGGCTCAGGCTTCACAGGAAAGTTGTTTTCTAATGCAGAACAGTTTTTTGACTAATATAAAAATGACAGTTGTATATTTCTTGCAATTTACAAATTCCGGATTCTCTGTCAAGAAGAACTAATACAAAAAATTTATAATTAATACTTTGTAGAAGAAAAATACAACTGTCTTTCATAACGATACTTTCATTTCCAATTTTGTCCTCCAGAAAAATTGAAAGACTGCACCTATGCATATAGAAGTCAGAGAAAAAACACAACAGAATGATGAGATGCTTGCAATAACTTTCTTTACAAATATCACGGAAAGGTAAGGATAAGGAATAAGGGGGATTAAATGACAATGATACTATTTAAAATGAGTTAGATCATTTTCAAATTTACTTTTTAAGGCAAAGTTTCTAAAATTTCACTTTTATTTTCTGGTCAAGCAAGATAAAAGTCAAACAAGCATTAACTATCATGTTCTTTGAAACGGTCCCACCCTATTTTTCCCTGGACCTACGACGTCTACGAGAAAGCTTTGTTTTTAATACATTAACTCAAGTGGCAGTGAGCATAAAACAGACGTTCCGCCCTAATAATAGCAAAAATTAGGAGTTTTCCATCAAATTCCCAATAAAAATTTGACTTTCCAACATACAAGAGAATTAACTTTAGGTGATAAACTGGATAGGTGATAAACTCAAAGATGAAGTAATGCATTATCCCCTACAAATATTCAGTACTTTTTTAAAGTCGTCAATACGAATGGGATACGAATCCAATTTCTAATAGTTATGTGGGAAAACTGACTATAAAAAGGTTTTTAAGAGATAAACTCGCTGGAACTTATCAGTTTAGTAGCTCAAGTTGAACTCGAATGTTCTCCGTTATGAATCGTACGATAATGCAGATTTACTTTTTAGGATTCACTTAATTTCATTTGTGTTAGACATTTGTGTTCGATAAAGTAAAACATGAAGAACTTCTGAAATTGCTAGAATGTTTTGATCTATTTGGGAAAGACATACGAATTCTTAGAAACTTGTTTCGGGAACAAACAGCATGTATAAGAATTGGAAACGATAGAAGTAACTTTACCAAAATCCAGAGAGGAGTTCGCCAAGGATGCGTTTTCTCCCCAGATCTTTTTAATATCTACAGCGAGATGATCTTAAGGGAGATGGAAGGCATGGAAGGCTTCGTCATTGGTGGGCATAATCTCAATAACTTGAGGTACGCCGATGACACGGTCTTAATAGCCCAATCTGAAGAAAAGCTACAAAATCTTCTGACTAAGGTAGTAAAAGAAAGTAAGAAAAAAGGTTTAACCATCAATTGTAAAAAGACAGAATGTATGGTAAATAGCAAGCAATCTGACCAGCTATGCAGACTAAAAATAGAGGACACTGAAATAAAGCAAGTAAAGTCATTCAATTACCTAGGTAGCCTAATAACAGACGGTGGAAAATGCGACTCCGAGATCAAGCGCAGAATTGGGATGTCTAAGCAAGCTTTTCAGAAGTTAAAGAGAGTGTTGAAAGATAGAAAAATGTCGTTGGGAACTAGGAAAAGGATTCTACGCTGCTATGTTTATTTCATCTTAACATGTGGCAGCGAATGCTGGACAATTTCAGCCGGTATGGAGAGCAGGATCGAAGCCGTTGAGATGTGGTTCCTCAGAAGGATGTTGAGAATATCATGGGTGGACCATATATCAAATGAAGAAGTATTGAAAAAAGCCGGAGAAGAAAGAAAGCTAAATAAAATGACTAGAAAGAGACAGGCCGAATTCATTGGGCATATCATGAGAAAAGAGGGTTTAGAAGAGATTATTATCACAGGCAAGATAGAAGGAAAGAGAGGAAGGGGAAGACCTCGGCTGAACTACCTGACAAGTCTCAGCAAGTGGATGCAAGATCAAGTTCCCGAGGAACAGCAAGGAAGGTATAAGGTCCAGAGTCTGATAAGAATCTGTAAGGACAGAAAGTTGTGGAAATCCATGGTCGCCTACGTCCACAAGGGACATGGTACTTAGATAGATAGATAGATAGATAGATAGATAGATAGATAGATAGATAGATAGATAGATAGATAGATAGATAGATAGATAGATAGATAGATAGATAGATTAGATAGATAGATAGATAGATAGATAGATAGATAGATAGATAGATAGATAGATAGATAGATAGATAGATAGATAGATAGATAGATAGATAGATATAGATAGATAGATAGATAGATAGATAGATAGATAGATAGATAGATAGATAGATAGATAGATAGATAGATAGATAGTAGATAGATAAAGATAGATAGATAAAAGATAGATAGATAGATAGATAGATAGATAGATAGATATAGATAGATAGATAGATAGATAGATAGATAGATAGATAGATGATAGATAGATTAGATAGATAGATAGATAGATAGATAGATAGATAGATAGATTAGATAGATAGAATAGATAGATAGTAGATAGATAGATAGATAGATAGATAGATAGATAGATAGATAGATAGATAGATAGATAGATAGATAGAATTAGATAGATAGATAATAGATAGATAGATAGATAGATAGATAGATAGATAGATAGATAGATAGATAGATAGATAGATAGATAGATAGATAGATAGATAGATAGATAGATAGATAGATAGATAGATAGATAGATAGATAGATAAGATAGATAGATAGATAGATAGATAGATAGATAGATAGATAGATAGATAGATAGATAGATAGATAGATAGATAGATAGATAGATAGATAAAATAGAGATAGATGATAGATAGATAGATAGATAGATAGATAGATAGATAGATAATAGATAGATAGATAGATAGATAGATAGATAGATAGATAGATAGATAGATAGATAGATAGATAGATAGATAGATAGAGAAAAGAAGAGATGAGATAATAATTAAAATAGATTAGAAGATAGATAGATTGTTAGATAGATAGATAGATAGATAGATAGATAGATAGATAGATAGATAGATAGATAGATAGATAGATAGATAGATAGATAGATAGATAGATAGATAGATAGATAGATAGATAGATAGACACTAAATTTCATAACAGATTCATAACAAAATTTTCTGGAAGCGGGAGGTTCAGTTTGAAGTAGGGAGAACGGGAAAAGAACGCTCAAATCGGGAGACCCCTGCCTGAATCGGGAGAGTTGGAACCTTTGATAAAAATATTATTGGACATGGCAGTGGCGGAAATTCAGGCTTTCATTTGGGGGGGGGGGCAGGCCTACGATTTTCCGACAAGATATCACCTTGGATTTTGTCCAATTTTAAGGAAGCTGCACATTTTGATGAAAATATTTGATTTTTTGGCGAGGCCCTTAAGAAATCTTTGCTGAACACGCTATAATCAAGTAGCAAGAAGAACAATGCATTTATTATTTTTGATATCAAGATCGTTCATGATAACAACATGGTTGTAATTGTAATGCTCATTTTCTGCATTTTATCTTGCTTTCTACAGTGGGAGATACGTCTGAAAATAACTTTTATTTGGAAGAATCCGATGAAAATTTCGGCTACTCTTTACAGGATTGAAATTAAATATACAATTCAGAAAGCTTTTTTTATTTTTGTCATATATTAGCTTGAAATTTCTTTCAAGAACGACTCCTTTGAGTAATTTTGACATGTTAAACGGCTGTCAATTAGCGAGCCCCCCCCCCCCCATACCCCCATATGTTACGCCACGCCACGGGGAAATGGCAGTATATCTTTCATAATTTCATCTTTCATAGCTTTCCTCGATGCGCACTCTCCCGCGAAATTTTAAATATACGCTGCGCAGGAGAAAGGAAATAAACAAATTCTCGAAAGTTCTCCGTACGTGGCCTTAGAACAGGGATCTTCTAGATGCTGTGGTAGGATCGAGAAAGTTCTCGTTTAATGAATATACCTAGTATATAGACCTAGCAAGAGTTAATTGACCCAGATTGATTTAGGTGTATAATTTGTTCAAGCAAGAATCGTAAAAATGGGAAAAAATTATTACAAAGTATTGGGAGTGAGTCGCGATGCAAAACCCGATGAAATCAAGAAGGCTTATAGAAAATTGGCGCTGAAGTTCCATCCAGACAAGAATAAGGCACCAGATGCTGAGGATAAATTTAAAGAAATAAGCGAAGCTTATGAAGTGCTAAGTGACCCAAAAAAGAAAGAGGTATTTGATTTGTACGGAGAAGAAGGTTTGAAAGGCCAACCTGCAGCAGGACAGGCAAACTTCGATTTCGGTGGCAATGGACAGGCCTTCAGGACTTTTACATTTACAAGTGGAGACGCTCGCGAAACATTTGCAAAAGTTTTTGGTGATGAGAGCCCTTTTGCAGATTTGTTTGGCAATGGGTTTATGTTTGGTAGTGGGGGTATGAATGACTTTGGATTTTCGAATTTCGGTTCTACAAGAGGAAGTAAAAGCACAAATTTTCACAATCATATACATCGATCAGACACACCGATGGATGCTGACTACCCAGATATGAAGTTTCACAGTAAAGCGAAAATGAAAGATGCCCCAATAGAGAGAGAATTATTGCTAAGCCTTGAAGAAATAAACAATGGCTGTGTAAAGCGAATCAAGATCACAAGAAAAGCTCTAAGTCAGGATGGGGTGACGCAGAGAAATGAAGAGAAGATACTGACTATAAATGTGAAGAAAGGTTGGAAACAAGGAACAAAAATAACATTTGCGAATGAAGGAGATCAGTTCCCAGGACGAATTCCAGCAGATATAGTCTTTACAGTAAAGGACAAGAAGCATGAAAACTTTTCTAGAGACAATGATAACAACTTGTTGTACACATCAAAACTAAGTCTTCGTGATGCATTATGTGGAGTTGTTGTTACTATACCAACCTTGAATGGCAAAAGACTAAAACTTGAATTTAGTGATGTAGTAAAGCCAGGTACTGTTCAAACTATAAAGGGATATGGGCTACCATTACCAAAGAATCCAAATCAGCATGCAGATTTGCTTATACACTTTGACATAGAATTTCCTAACAATTTAGGAGAACATGTTAAAGATACGCTTAGCTGTGTCTTGCCAAAATGAATTATCTGTTAAATACATGCTTGTGTTGTTGTATGAATGTGTAATTGTAAAGTATCTTAGCAATATCTAGGTTGAGGCAAAGAAGAGTAATTTATTTTAACAGGTTTATCAATAAAATGAAAGCTTGATTTGGTTAGAGTTTGTATGTATCTCCTCTAGCCTATCCATCTTTATCTTCTTTTTAAGCATTTACCTCGATATGACTGAATTACTGTTAAAAAATTTTCAGTTTTACTTATAACAGAAGCATAACATAGGCGTATGCAAATCTGTTATGGTGGAGATGTATTAAAAAAAACTGTTTTGTGGGTAGCTGTATTGAAGAAAATTTTGTTAAGGGTAGTCACCATAAAACACGAATTTGATTTTGGGAAACACAGCTTCATGATCAGACGGCATACACAGTACGACAACAGAAGAGACATCATGTCAGAACTACTACTTTTTCAATTTATGTGACAATCCATATTATATTCTTGTAAGGGAGCAAATTGTATTAATGCTAAATTATCATGATCCATTATGATTCTGATTGCTATAAATTTGATTCACTAGAAAAGACCTTTCTCAATCTGGTATTCTGGTGAAGCATCAAGGTCTATATGATAGAGTCAATGGTTACAAAAAATACTTCCAAGTTTAAATTGTTTCTGTCTGTAATGTTTGCAATTAAAAAAATGTCTGCAATAATCAGATCTTAAAGTTTGTAAATTTACAAATTAATATTCTGCTCATCATTCAGCAGCCATTACAAATACATAGCAGATATTCTTCACATATACAGAAAACGTTATCAGAAAGTTGATATCAGCTGTAAAGCTTAAACAAATTTGCTGCCTCTCTGAATGGAGAGAGCATCAAATACAAAATCAGATGTATAAGTATTTTCTTTTCAGATATCATCATCAGTAATATAATTACCCTTTAGGTGACACCTTTGAAAAAATATTAAAGATAAGAACCCTTTTAAAATAAAATTTGTGCCGAGGGTGAATTGGCATCTATCTGTGAAGAATATCTATGTATGAACTAAATTGCATTTTTTACAATCAAATTCTCTCAAAACCAAATTGATAATATATGAGCACATTTATTGTCTCCATAAGCCTACCTTATACAAGGTATATACAAATTTTAATTTTTCAAAACAAGTAAGACTTTGCTTGAAAATAACAATTCTTATCACTTACAATTAAACCATTATCAATGCATTTAATCTGAACTTCAAAAAATAGAATTGTTACTAGGAAAGAAATTGCTGGCAGTATGTAACATATGCATGGATTATCTTTTATTGTTGGGCAATTGAGACTTTATATGATTATGCAACTACAAATAAAACGTATATGATGCTTAGCTATGTACTAATAAACTGCAGAAATATCAGTGTTACAGTAAAGTAACATGATAATACCCTGTGCAATTATCCTGAGTGAAAGCTTTATGTATCTTTTTCACTTAAAGTATGGTTAACTTGCATATTTTACAAAAGTCAGCAGTTAATTTCAACATTCAGCAAAATTAAGCTATTGAAACTTAAAAGGTAACAGATACAATCAATACATTATTTAATTAATTATACAGTACTACATTGGTCAAAACTGCCTCAATGAAAATACAAAATCCAACAAAAAACACAAACCAGGTTTTTTCTTTGGGGAAATCGTCCTTTTTGATAAGAAAAATCTAAGAAGAAAACATTGAATGATTAATAAACTTATATAAACAGAAAACAGTATAAAAAAGCAAATTTGCCACATGATAGAAAGAAAATGAAAGTTATGATAATACTTACAAGAAGTAAAGCAACAATGCCAATACCTGAAATAAAAAAAACAATTTATACAGATATAACACATAAAAAGTTTTTTCTGATTAACATTAATTAAATTGATTAAGAATAATGATATAATATGTAATATACTTTAAACAAGATACTTTATCTTCTATCCCCTTAAATTAGATACACGTTTAATTAATGTGCTTAATTGGTCACGTTTATATGAGGCCATTTAGCAATAAAAATTTTGTCCACTAAAATCTTTATAAATGGCATCATTGATAAGCAACCAGAGTCCACAAAGGGAAGCTTGACACATAAATCTAGAGGCAAATCAGACTCTTGGACTTGTCAAAATGTTTGTACTGATATCAAAAGAATGATTTTATAAACATTTGAGTAGTTTCAAGGGGGCAGACCTAGGTAAAATTCAAACAAAAAGTCTTTGTACAAAAAGGCTATTTTTTCTATAAAACTGGACAATGTTTGTCTATCTAAAAAGTTTTATGTGACAGAAGATAACAGAATTGCAATCCACTGCAAGCAAAACTAACATAAAATAATTTAATTATTCATAAGAAAAAATGCTATAGTGTCATTTTATGTTTACAGGCAGGTTCGCTACATATGTCTGGGAGGTCAAAGTGTTGCTCTGAGGCTCTAGATGACAATATATTGAAAACCCTTTTATATAGAAATGAAGATTTGGCCTTGGAATCTAACAAGCAAATTTTAAATATCTCAAAGTTTCTTGCTGAAACCAAACGCTGACAAAGGAAAATAAAAGTAGAAAATAGTGATATTCAAAATGTGGAAATAATTTATGTTTGAAAAAATTGCCTGTTTAATAAGCTCTCAAGAATTATTTGAAATATAAACTGGGCTTGGCTGTTCTTATATTTCTTTATCCCTAATATTGTCCAGGGCCTCTGATAATGCATAAAAATAACAATTGATTAAATGTGCATCACAAATAAAGGATTAATTAGTTGCAAAGATTTTGGTATCTGAAAGGGCACATTGAAAAAATAACTAAAACACTGGTCTGAACACTTCAGCCCATAAGCCAGGTTTTTATCCAGTAACAGACTTTACTCAGGCTCTAGTAGTGGCCATACTGCACAGGCTATTTACGGTATATAACTCATGAGATAGCGTATATACGGCATTCGACCATAGTCTTCATATTTTCATTCTGGTTTTGTCATGGATTTTCTGCTTATGATATGAATCTTGTTTAAAGAGATAAATTAAAGAGCGGGAAAAAATGGAAATATTAATAAAATATAGATTTTGCGGCAGTTATTATTCAAATAACTCAGCATATCATCAATTGGCCTCACTTTGCAGGGCTTGGGCCATAAAACTTCCTAAAAACTGGCATATGTCTAATTGATTTTTTAGGGTACCAAATTAATGTGCTAACAGTTTTTGATCAGATGAACCTTTTCCTCAGTCCTTTATTATCATATCGTGTGGAATAAGCATATTTGAACAATTATATCAAGAAGATCTGACATCTTTGAAACAAATTTCAACTGACTACCGAGTCGCACAAGTAAGTCTTTACATGGGCTGTATTTAATGCACATGATCTTAGTATCATCACAAAATAGGGGGGGGGGCTTATTAGAGAGTGGGATCTTATTTCAAGTTTTTGTTTGATGAGGAGGGGCTTAACAGAGGGGGCTTAATAGAGAGAGGGGGCTCAATAGAGCTGTTACGGTGTTCGAGTTGCTTAAAGATATCCCAGGAATGTTTGACAATATAGGCATTGTACTTACATATAATGCTTATTCCTTGTAAGAGGTATGAGGCCCCATACTTAACCCCTTGGACAATTGAAAGAATGCATGTTACCTGAAAAATAATTGAAACGAATCATGGAATCATTACAAAAGGGATGCATAAATTGTTAATATATTGTTATAATGTGACATAATTGTACATTAAACCTGATGAGTCATGCATGTATCTCATCTCTCCAGCAATCAAATGAATCAAAAAATTAAAGATCAATAATTTTTAATAAAAAAAATTTAAAGTGCAATTATTGGTGTTTGAATTTTGCTTAGTAGTGCAAGCTTTGTAATATGTGGTGTGCCGTTGTCGGGGCACACATGCCCAAGTTGTCTAAGGCATGTAAAATATCGCACATGCAAAACAAAAAACTTGTGAGGGGAATTTCTTAAGCTTTAAGGTTTGAAAACATATTTCTAAGGCAGAGGAAAGTCAAAGTCATCAAATTTGAAGGCAGTTCTCCAAGGTGTTAAAGAATTTCCCCACAGAATTACAATGTTGTCACCAAGTAGTTACCTATTGTACAGTTGCTAACACAATAGTACAGTTAGGTATTATCGTTAAAGGTAGCCAAATCAAATGGCAAGATATTTCTTTGATTAATATCCACTATGATATCTGCTACTTCAGAGCTGATACAGACGTCAGTGACAGTGCATGACAATACATCTATGGATGGTAGGATCTACAGACAGTTAAAATCTATTTCAATCTGGATATTTTTAAATGATAACAAATCAATTCTATAATAACTTCTTGGAAAGTTATTAACTGATTATATTTGACATCTGTATTGAAGAACAAGAACATATTCTCTGTCAATTTCTTTGTTTTCTTTTCTCTTTAGAACACAAAAGGTCTCCCTTAAAGCATTAGCCTATATTTCTTGACAGCAGGAATAAGCAAAGATAGATAAAAAGTTGTTTGCATCACACACCATTTCAAGCACAAAGCAATAAAATCCATGAAACACGGGGGAAAGGGGATTCTAAAATTGAAGAGTTATTCCTACCCATATAATGCTATATTTTAAAAAAAGTTACAGAAATTAATTTTATTGTAATTCTACTGCAGCTTTGATTCTCACTATTCAATCTTCTTAGCCACTATCATCAATAATCAATTTTGGCTGCTTGCCTAGTTGATATAATTCTTCTAAAACCAGTCATACAGAATGAATGGAATATATCACTTGCATATTGATGGTCATTTACTATCAACAAAAACATTCCTCTTGGCCACTTTTCTTTCCACTGTGGAAAAGTGTTACATCACAGATTCTCAACATTAAATTCAGCTTTCTAACAAAAAGTTCACCAGTTAAGGCATCCTGGATAGCTAGACCTGAAGAAATTTGAGGAAAAGTAAAATAAAAGTTGTCTTTTATTGTAAAATGATATGCAGGAACAACAATTTTTTACTCACCAATACAACTGCAATAACAACAAATACAAACATCAAAATGGTGTATTTCTGTAAGGGAAACAAAAATGAATTATAAGGCATGAAAATAATAGAATTAGATTTATATTCAAAAATACTTTATATACATTTGCAGTTAACATAAGCCCCTTAACTTTTCAGAGGAAAGATTGGTTTTGAGATTCTGTTTAAAAAATCTATTCAGAATGGCCCTTCTGAAATCAGACTACAAAATGACGAGCAGAGACATATTTCACTGTATCTCACACACAAAATATAGCAGACTTTGATTTACTGAGTAAGGGATAGGTGGATAACCTACAAAATTAAGCTTTAATTCAGATACTCTAACCCAGGAAAGATTGAAGAAATAAAACAGACTAAAGATTTGCAAATATTAAAGCAAAAAAATATATGCTAAAGCAGAACTTTTACCAAGTTTACGTTAAGGGGATCCTTGAAATACTGAAAACTAGGAATTAGGATATATCAATGGCAACAAGTTGGAAGCACTAGTTTTCTACTATCAAGAGGATAGAAAAGTGATAGAAATGGTATGTTGATATGCCAAAAAATGCAATTAAAATTTTTTCTCGAATTCTTGGTTACACAAGAAACTCTAAATGCAAAAGTTGACAAAAAGTTAAGGCAAAGTGCCACATTGATATAACATGATTTATGAGCAAGAAAGTCTTATTTTGCCACTCTTATTTTCAGCATTACATTGCATCATCACACCTATAACTGGTAAAACTTATCTTTTTCAATGATTTAAATATTCAGAAAAATAAACTATTCCATAATAAGTTTCAGATAGCAAGTTATCAAAAATATTCAATAACAGAGGGGGCAATAACATGAAAACATCCAGGCGTGTGGTGGCATGTGACATTTTGTCCCAAAAATCTATGATGGTTATCATGATAGATCTATGCAGAAATTGCCAACACGGCAATGCTGGCATCAATGATTTTGATGAAGTTTATTTTGCTGAATCCTTAGCATCACTACTAACATTTTAAAAAACGTGTTATAAACTGCACTTATTTAATATATCAGCAAAAAAAGGCACTACTATTGCGGAAAATGTTATCTATATCATTAGCAGTTTTCATCAGCTTCAATAATGAATCCATGGCAGAGTCATTGAAGCTTTGGTGTTAATCTGGTTGTAATGGCTGTTTTTGCATGTAAATCCATGCCCTGAGGGCCCTCAGTTATGAAGCATCACAGCTATTTTATGTATCTGACTGGCCAGATGTCGATAATCCATAATGCAATAATCCAGATGTCGATAATGCATAAAAGATAATCATGGGCCATTTTCCATTAAAGTAAATGTCGCCAAAGTCTAGATGTAAGGGGTTTGGCAGAATGCAAGGGGCCAGACATACTTTTTTTATACCAAAAATTTAGTTTTAATTGGCAATCCTGACAAGGTGTTAAGCCTTTTTGAAATGGCATGAATTAATAGTACCAAGGAAAGATTTACATTTAAACCCATCTTGAAAACCAACAAAACCAATCATTGATAGGGAATTTCAATCTCAGGATAAAAGAAGGCATGTTATATTTTGCACTCCCCAAAAGCAATGACGTGCGCCAGGGTGTGTGCATGCGATCGCACACTTTTCCAATGAAAGCCTGACCATATTTAGGCCTTTTTGTTTGATGTCAGCGATCACAGTAATTTGTAAGGAATAAATTTCTCACCAATTAACACATTTCTAGTCATTTTTTGTGGCCCAAGCAAGTGGCATAGATGATACAAAGCCAGTAAATCAAAATACAGGAAATAAGTATTCTTTAATAAACAAGATTATAAATAAAATCTAAAATGCCCAAGATCTCCCCATTGGAAAATAGTATGTGTTTGCAAACTCTACACTTCACAGCAGGTGTGCAACATTCTTCTCATAGACATGGGCCAAAATCAATGCAAAGATAAACACTTCCATTGCCTTCTTTGATGCCTTAGCAGAGTAGTACACATAACAGATTTTTTTTCTTAATTCATTCTGTTACAGGTTAAGAGCGACAAAATACCTTGATTTTGTTTCTGGCAAAAACCATTCTGTTCAAGACACCCCCATTCTCTCAAAAAATATATCAATCCCAAACTCCCAAGAAATATATCAAGTGTGTAGCTGCCAAACTTACATAAGGGGTCTAAGGTCTTGGCTATTTGGCTCCACCCATGGCATAGTTTTCCACTACCTGAGAGCAGCCTTCAGTCAAAGATTATGATACCTTTAGTCAAAGATCATGTTTTATTATGGCCTATTTTCAATTTTTCTTCCAGTTCTAGCTCCATAGTTCATGACGAAAAGCAGGTTAATTAATGTGGTGTACAGCTTAATTAGTGCCATGGTCATCATTGAAATGTTTGCTTGTTTTGCTTGGAAGTGTTTATCTTTGCATAGAAAATTTATTACATTAAAAACATTGATAAAACTTACAAGAATAGGATCTATAATACCTAATAAAACCTAATTTCACATTGAAATAAAATAATGTTTGAATTGAAATAAAACGAATATTTATACAGGATAAACACTTCAACAATTAGAACATCACTGTTATCACTGTGTGTCCTGTGCCCTAGACCTTAAATGATATTGAAAGAAAATTTATTACATTAAAAACATTGATAAAACTTACAAGAATAGGATCTATAATACCTAATAAAACCTAATTTCACATGGAAATAAAATAATGTTTGTCACTGTCCTGCAAAATGATTTTTAACTTTTTTAACAAATTCTTTGTGTGTCCTTGTCCGACGTATGTCTATAGGTAGCTCATTGTACACATTAGAGCCCATATATTGAAACGATTTTCGTGCATATTCTTTTTTAATAATAGGTAATCGCAGAGTGCATTTGTTGCTTCTTGTTTCCTTTTCATGTTGTATCAGAGTAAAATAATTCTGAAAATGTTCACAGATATCTCTGTCCAGGCATTTTCGCACAAGTTTGCAGGCTCTCATCTTATTCGCATTTATGACTGACATGAGCCCTTTACCGGCTGTTTCATCACCATAGACTATCTTCAATGAACGAGAATGAAATGAGGAAAGTCTGCTTATTTGCGTTTTTGTGAGCTTTAGTTGCAGTATACCACAGTAAGTAAATGTTGGAAGGATCATAGTGCGATAGATTGTACTAGCTGTAGCATTGTCCATGAACGACCTTAATTTTGCTAGAAGTCGTAATCTACCAGATGCACGCTTGAAACATTTGTCGAAATGGGAGTTCAAGTTAAGTGAGGTATCCACAAGGACGCCAAGATATTTATATTCCGTTGTGTTGTTAATTACCATTGGGGTTGGCTGAGATATTGTGACTTTGAGTGGCCCATTTTGCTGTTTTGCAATTCGTTGTGCCGTTCCAAATAGTATCGACTCTGTCTTGCCTTTTTTTAGATTCAATATAAGTTCATTGCATCTCAGCCACTTTGACAGATTTTCCATGTCTTTCGATAGTTTATTTTCAATTGAATCAATTTCTTTGCCTGCCACATACAAAACAGTATCATCTGCATATTTTAAAATGCTTGAATACTCCATGACTTCTACAGCATCATTGAAAGAGATAAGAAACAATAGAGGGCCAAGTATTGAGCCTTGTGGAACTCCTGTTAACAAGTTCTCCTCATCTGAGATACAACCGTTGAATGCTACCACTGCCTTTCGGGAGAACAGATAGTCGTTGAACCATTCCAATTCGTTATCTTTTATTCCGTAAATCGCAAGTTTTTCGAGTAGTATGGCGTGGCTTATGGTATCAAACGCCTTACTAAGGTCAACAAAGACTGCTCCGACGAGCTGATCCTTGTCGACGCTTCTCCGTATGTCATCCAACAATATAGTCGCCGCATATTCAGTTGATAATTTGGGCCTGAAACCATATTGGTATTTTGACAAGAGCTTGTTTGTGTCTAGAAATTTCATAACTTGACGATGAACAATCTTTTCAATCACCTTGGATAGTATCGGTAAAACTGAAATTGATCGGTAATTATCACAGTTAGAGCGTGCACCAGATTTATGAGTAGGAATGATTTTAGCTGCCTTCCAGTCCGCGGGAAAGGTACTGGTCATGAGTGACATATTGATAAGATGGGTCAAGGGACCCGATATTGACTCAGCAGAGTCCTTTATCAAACCTGGTGGCAGATCATCTAAGCCAGTTGCTTTATTTCTCTTTATAGACTTAAGTCCACGCTCAACTTCATGTTTTGATACCTTTCTAAACATAAACTTTCTAACTGTTTTTGTGGGTAAGTTGGGTTGATTTCTCCATGTGAAGTTACATAACGGGAAAGCCTTTTCCTTCAAGGTTGTTACGATATTAGCAAAAAAGGAGCAAAATGCGTTTGCTATCTTGCTTGGGTCTTTTACTTTATCGCCGTTAATTTCGAAAGATTGAGGACTTTGTTTGTCGCTCGACTTGGTTGGGTAAATTGATTTTAGTGTTTTCCAAAACTTATTTGGATCCCTTGAATTTTCTTTCAATAAATCCTTGTGGTACATTGACTTGGCTTTTCTGACAGCTGTATTCACTTTATTACGCATGCATTTATATGCTGAGATGTCTGTTTGATTTTTAGTACGTCTTGATCTTCTTAACAGTTTATCTCTTTCATTCA